TTTTGAGTTGTTCACCAAAGAAACAGAACACAAAATCTGCCTACAAGAAAATCTGTCACCAAAGTATACCAATATATATATATATATATATATCTTTTAACACTAGGTTGAAGCAACACTTCGTTACAAAAGATAGGACCTTCAGAAAGTTTATAGTTGCCATAATCTATTATAATGAAGTTTTTTTTAATATTTAGATATGCTTATATTATTTAACTATAATGTAGGCCTCTACGCTTGGCATTATAAGCATTTAAGGAGTTTATACGTTTAATGTTGGTTCTCCCTCTAGCGGTAAGTATAAGTACTCTGATGATTTGCATATTTTTATTTTATTGTCATGCATGTACTATATTCCCCGAAACGTTTCACGTTACAGGATTCACACGAACAAATAAATACATAACATACAGCGAGAGCACGGAGAATTATTTAGTCTTATATATTTTTTTTAGTAAAAGTTAAGAACGAAGGTAGAAGCTGCAAGACAGATAGGTGTGAAGGTAGACAAGTTAATCATATTTATTTTTTATTACATATTTTTGGATTTTGACATTATCAATTAAGACTTGCTAATATATTTGTAAACTTACATTGTTCTCGAAGTTGTAAAAGGTTACCATGTTTTATGCACCAAATCTTGTTATATTGTTCTTTTAAGAACATCATCAAAGATTATTTCTTTTTTCTATAGTTGTTTTATCAAGCGAATCTCGAGTCAAAACAGTTCTTAGGTTAACCAACGCTACTCTTACTTTAATGAGCTCTTTATGTGAAGTGATTAAAGTATACACAATAAACTTTCTGAACTATGGTATCTGTGGATTATTTACAACATTAAATGAACATCATGCGAAGATAATGGACATAAATAAAAGCCGAAAGCCAAGCTTCATTTGTTATTTAACTATTATTTTTAACACTTTTAGGGGTGATTTTTAAATTTGTTTACAGATATCAGTAAATTTATTTTGATAAATGTTCAATATAAACAATTCCAACAATTTTTCTCAGGTTAAACGTGTAAATTACGCCCCTACTGTTCGAAAACTACCAAGTCTCCAGAATCTGCCAACATTAAGCTTAGACAATCCAGATCCAGGAAGACCAAGTGTAGAATACACAGATCCCGTGTTTGAAGACTTCAATAAAAATTCCTTGGGCATGATAGTGATATACGCCCAAACAAGTGAATTTGGTAACTGTTTTATCTAATATTTACAGAATATATATTCGAAACATTAAACGTACAAGTTCAGAGACATAATAGGGTTATATGCACCAAAAAGTGAAGTTGGTAGTTCAATATATGCTTAATTTTGTCCGTTACAGAAATCAACTCTGTAAGAATAAACGTAGAGAAATTCAGTAGGATTTAAGCGTCATGTCTATAGACAAATTAACCTGATAAATAAATGTGTTTATTGAATATTGTTTGCTGTAAAAAGCAGCTCAGAAAGTACAAAAGAAAGAGTTCAAGAAGCCTGTTCATACGGACATGAGTTAGCGGTGGGTGGTGCTAACTAACTGCCTTCACTAGTCTATCACTGCTAAATTAGTGATGGTTATCTCAGATTGCTTTCGAGTAGCTTTACGCGAAATTCTAACCAAACCAAACAACCCTATTTAGTGAACGTAGTTATGCAGATTTGTCTCTAAGTTTGTGAAAATATGTGGGCAAAGTGCTCTGATAACATATGTATCTACATTACGGTCTATGAAATTTGTTTTCGTGTTCACAACAATATTAGCATGCATGCAATGTTTTACATAAATATTTACAAGTAGCAATGAAATGCAATTACTGGTCTTCATGAAACATTATATATCATTCAGTGAATGTATAGGATATGTATACTTTCTTTTATAGGTCAGTGGGAGATAAGAACTCCGAAAAGTGAAAAATGGGATCCTCTATTAACTGGAAAATCTTTCATACCTAACACTTATAAGATGGGATTTATATCTGGTGAAAAGTTTTGTTTGCTTCACAACTTGAGAATGAAGAGCTACAAGCCTGTTCTGCTTAATGCAACAGACAAGTTGAGGTTTCATTCTCCTGCAAACCTCCCCTGGTGGAATACAACTCAAGCAAAGCAAAACACCTTACTCATTTTCTCAGCTTGGGACATGTCGGATTCTCTTATTCCACATGACTGGGTAAGGATGTTGGTAGCGCCAAAGTAATTAAACTACAGTTTTCCTTCCCATTTTCTCTTTGAATTTGACGTTTTATCAGTTAAAGTGCATGTTGGTATCACCTTAGAGAGTGTTGTTCTTGTCACGTGAATAAACTGTGTGGTATCGACTATCGATGCACTATCCATGTATGCATCTAATACTATTTATATTTCAGTTTTTCAGCTGGGCTAGCGGTAAGTTTAAGGAATTACAATGTTAAAATCCGGGGTTCGATTCTCCGCGGCGGACAGAGTGCAGATAGCTAATATGTAGTTTTGCACCAAGGAAGTAACAACCCTCATCTAGAGTCCGTTACATTGTCCTTGTGGAACACAAGGTCTAGAACAGGTACATATAGCACGTAGTGTCCGTGTAATCCAGATATTTTATGAATAAACCTGCCAACTTGTAAGATTAGGTTTAGGTACAAACTGAAACTTACATATGTTCTTTTTTGCCCTACATCTATTTCTCTTATAGTTGTTAAATAAAGAACATAGCCTTACTAAATGCAAAGATTATTGATATTTGTAGAGCCAAATAAAGGGTAGTAGTTCGAAACGTCGCTAAGTTAAATATATATATTTCAATCGTTAGCCAAATTTTAGTTCACAGCTTTATCTGTGGGAGAACCAGCTAGCAGTAAAAAAAAAAGAGGCGCAACCCACGTGGGAATATATGTATATGGGTCGCCTCTACAATAAACGGTGAAATCATCTGGTAGATCCCAGTTCTCTATTCGTTGATTCTTGCTTGTTTGTTGTTAAGCTCAAAGCTACACAACACACTATCTGTGTTGTCCTCACCACGGATATCAAAATCCGGTCTTTAGAGTTATAAGCCTTCAGACTTATCGCTGAGCCACTGGGAGACTCTACTAGTTGAATAGGTGACATTTTGTGGTCATGCACTACTACACGCGAAATACGTGTGCATAATAATGTTACCATGGTATTTTAAATGAATATCTTCATGATTGTTTGTTTTTGTCTTCCTGACACTGGTTACTGGAGAATTGTTTTAAATCTGAGCATATTTTGGTTGATGATTTTCTTTTCATTTTCGTCTAATTATTGGTCGTAAGATCTTTTTTTTTCTTTATGGATTTGATCCAATCATTGCATTGAAAAATGAGATGGATCTTAGTCTCTAGAATACCTTTATGTCCGTAATGTAGCTATTGAATAAATACAGATCGATTTGTCGAGCATAAAGAAACCTTCAGACATTTTACCTGTTCTACCCAACCACTAAATCCTAGTTACGTCGAATAATTATAGAGTATTTTTGAAACCAGTAAAGCCTGTTTATTGGATAATAATAGTTATATCGGTATTTTAGAATAAGTGTTAGTCTCAGCAACTTAATCTTTGTTGTTGTTTTTAAATGTTTACTATGTAATTGAGTAAGGCTATGCACGTATAGATGCTAACTGTCCAAGAACCTGACTCTGTCAGGTGTTTTATTAAATCTTGTAATGTGTAACTCTGATATCTTATCTTATCAGAGATAATTTTATAATTGTATTTTTTACATCAGGCCAAAAAATTAATTCTGTTTTTGTAGCAATATTGCCGGAAAAAATTATGGTAGGTTCATAAGACTTTTGTTTTCTAAACATGTTTATTAAACATTATTACTTGCACTGTAGCATATAATTATCGATATTATATAGGGCGTTTTTCATGTATTCATTAAAATCAAGAATTAAACTAATTTCAGTTGTTTTTAATTTTATACATTTTTTTAAGCAACTATGTTTTTTTTTCTTCTTACAACATATTTACTTCTCATAAGGCCTATGGATTATAGGATGAAGTCCTACGTTAAACATTTGAATAGTGTTGTTAGAAGTCGATACTTTGAGAAACCGTTATTCAAAAAACGATACCGGCATAGCTCCCGTTAAAAACCTGAAACGGATGTCGTTTTGAAAAGTAGGAAGCAAAGTTTCCAACTCTTTGTTTTGGGAAAACAAAAACGTAAAATCTATACAAAAATACAGGAAAATAGCATACAATAAACTATACAATAAGGCCTTATTAGTAAAAATTAGCATGATAATGACAGAATAAAAACACGACAATTTTTTTTCAAGTTTATTGCGATTAAAATTACATTATTTTTACGGGTTCATTGCGAAAGCTGCTCACGTGAATAAGAGGGATGGAAATGTCTCCAGTAGATGAACATACAACTACGATATGCGAACATTTTTAGAAGAAAAAGCGTGAAACGTTTTGGGTCGGGGCCTTTTTTTCTTCAGGGCCGGTCGAGTTATCGCAATCTAAACTATTTTTTTCTAGACCTTACATACATATCAAAGCAAACAATATATGGGCAGAGCGGTTGTTGTGTGTTCTTGAGAACGCTACGTTACCCTACTTGTCCCAGTCTACTTAGCTGTATGATGACTACTTGCTGTCAGCTGAGTGTTAACCTACGATGATCTGGCATGCTGTCCAGGTGTAGGTCACCATTCTCATCCGTTTGTGCCGTTTGAAACCGGGGTTCAGAAGCACGGACCCTATGGGCCTTGCAAAGGCACGGCAAGGATTTAACTTAATTTTTCAAATTACATGTAAGGAAGGTAATTCTTTAACAGCTAGAGAACCTAACCGATTATTCCGTATTAACTATATAGGTTTCTAGTTTTCTGGTATATTGATTTATAATATTAAGTATTTCTTGTCAGTTTATTACAGTGTTGGAAAAATGATTGCACCACCCAATTTTTTTACTGAAATATTTGTTTGGTTCCTGTAAGTTTTTACCAGATTGTGCACTGTGGAAGTGTCAGAACTAGTGTAAAACTGTTATGAACATTGTGTGGTGTAAGATGACTCGTATTTCAGTAATACAAACACACATATATGCATCTTTATTAACCAACAACCATGAAATACATATTACAGCAGATGATCAACAAATACTTGGCATATACTAAAAGGTTCTCTGAGTTAGAAAATCTAGGTTTAAAGATAACACCTCTAATTTAAATGATAAAAAGTAGTCACAGAGTCTGAGTCTCGTTGTAATATATGGTTGTGTCGCCACTGACCTTTATTAACTGCTTATCAACGTAGTAACATAGAATGCACAAGGGATTTAATGTAGTTCATGATGCTACATGCGGCTAATCCTGCAGTTCCAAAGTGCTTTTCGGTTTCTTCTCTTACACTTTGTAACCCATTACCTTCCACCAATTATCGATAAAGTTTAGATCTGCGCTGTTACCTGGCAAGCATAGTGTCTACATCTTCTCCCTTCGAAAGTAGTCCTTCACCCGAAGCAATAAAATAAAACCTACGATTTCTTTTCAATACACGTGGAATATTGACATTTTTATTTCAGGTCTACTACATAGAGTACATGACTATTATCAACCTTTCTAGCCTTGTGGCATGGAGCAGAGTCATTCCGTAATGTGCACTGGTCAGCTCCACCAAAGTGATCCCGAATTTTTGGCTTTAACCAGGACTGAAAGATCTCTATGTATTTGTCGGCATTGACAGCGCCTTTCAGAAACGTTAGGCGTCCTACACCCTTGCCAAATATGTATCCCCCTATCACCTGAACCTGCGGATGCTTCATAATTGCATTCAAACACGCTGGATGAAACTCTTCTCCACATTAACGTCATACAAAGTGCTTCCCATCAGACCCGTGTAGGTTCAACTTTAATTCGTGTAAGAAGATTACTTTATTCCACATTGTTTCAGTCCAGCCACCATGTTCTTTGGCCTAGTTGAACTTGGTTGTCTTGCTGGGAGACTGGCGGAGCTCTAGCGACAGTGGACAGTGTGGGCGGTGATAGTGACCCCAGTAGTTTTCTGCTATGCTATTTTGAGACCTGTGGACAACAGTCGACGATTCTACCAGCTCATGCGTATCATTAACTCACAGTCATGTAATAATACATCATATTATTACGATCTTCTGGTCAAAATAAGCTAATGACAGAGAGAAGAACTAGATATACACCTCTGGATAAAATACAATTAGCACATACATATATATCAATGAAGACAATGAGGTATACAGTGGTGGAAAAAATTAACGCATCACCAATTTTTTTAACACTTTTCTTCGGAATCATCGTCTGTTTTGTGGCCCTAATTTATTTAGGAGCAAATGTGTTTCTTGGACGATGCAATACTGTCTAATTATTACACCAGTAGCTTCAGAGGCTATCTGGATATTGCATCAGCCGTTTTAACGTATAAATAAAGGTTCTTACTGAGAGTCAGTACAACGTGCATGTGATGCTACCATGTCCAAGGGTTGTGAGTTAACTCCACGGAAAAAAAAGCAGTTATTCCTTTTCTGAGCGAAAAAAGAGACTTTCGACAAGGCATATTCCTAGAATACTTCAATTTAACGAGTCTACTATGGGCCGCTGGGTGCAGAGATATAAAGAGATTGGCTATATGGAGCGGCGAAAAGGAAGGTATAGGGAGAAAGTTTCCACAGTAGCTGACGATCATGTTTATATTAAACTGAAGTGGTCGTGGAAAGTATTTATGGATAACAAAGACTGGATGTAGTTCCCAGCAACATTTTCTCCTGATACTTGACCGTGTAAAACAGTGTATTATGTTTGTTATTTTTCGGCTAACTGACGGTTTAAAGCGTTATGTTACATCCAGAAATTAATTTTAGGCACTACTGCCTGACCTGATAGTTTAAAGTTTTTGTCATTCCCTGTAATAACTGAGCGCAGAATGATGTACATAACCACTAAAAGTAACTCTGAAGTGTGACTGTGAAAAGGTGTATTACTATCTCGACAAGTATCACCAGAATATCTTGAATGGATATAATGGTAATACAAAGTTCTGGTAACTTATTGTCTAAAGATGTGTATTATTCTTGTTCGAACTTCTTTCTGGAAGAACGTTGTACATTATGTCTCTGGAATGGGCGTTTATCTACTTTTGGATTCTACGTTTTTCCTAAGTAACTTAAATATTACATTTCATAGTATATGATATATTACTCTTGTTAATAGTTCTGTAAACCTGTGTGTTAGATTCCTTAATATGGTGTCATTTATATACTGGAAACGCTGTGTATCAATTACATTTGACGTTGAGTTTTAATTGATGATAATGTGAAGCTGTGAACACTTAGCAATGAATGATCATAGCCACTGGGTATGTAATTCAATGTCTTACTCTTGATAATATGATATTCTTTTTACTGGTTGTGTAAACCGTGCCATGTCGTTTCTAATTTACTGGTTACTTGAATTTTCTTTAAGATTTGATACTGTAAAACCTGTGTTACAGGCTGTGTATAAGTATCTATTACATTTGATTACGGTTTTGCTCTGGTTGTGACTGAGTAATGGGGTAATAAGATGTTGTGTTTGCTGGTTACGTAAATCTATGAATTTATATCTAAAACAATTAATTTTCTAACTCAAGTTCATTAGAAAGGTAAAGCTTTCATTTTAAAGTTAAATAGTAAGTTATACTGACTGGTGGTCTTAATGCATCATTACACTCAGTATATCTCCCAAAAATTCAAACAAAACGTGATGTTTCTGGAATAATTATTTAACTTTTTTTTTCCTTTTTGTATTATGCCATCATAAATTTCACATTTCGTAATGCATGACGGGTAGTCATTATTGCTGACTGATTAATATTGTGCACGCAATGCATTTAATAATGCGAAATTATGGGTTCCTGGTGAATTGAGATTATGCATGACACAGAAAAATGTCATGTTCTTGTGGATGACTGTGAAAAACTGCGAATTACATTTGGTCATATATTTTGATGGTTACTGACTGTGTAAATTTAGTGTTTTGATTAATTGCTGTGTGAAAGGCTGTTTGTCATATTTAATCAAAGTTAAGAAACACAATGTCTCAAATGCCTTTGTAAGCAGCAAATATTAACAGCATCTTATAAGAACGATTTGCATATGCTAGTATAATGGTTTGTCGTCTCAAATACGAGATGTGGAGCTACGGGCAATATTTAGTCACATTATGTCTGATTTATGCCGAATTTCCGACAACTCTACAGTGCTAGATATTATGGTTTAAACAGTACGCTACAGCTCCTTCCCAGGTTCTTATAACAAAAGTGTTAAGTGTATAAGTCGAAGAACAATATTTCGAAGAAGAGAGCCTTCAATGTTCCCCTTGATAGCAGAAAAACTGTGTTTAAGATAAGAAAAGGTTTCGAAAATCACCCCTAAAGACAATTTGCAAGGAGGAGATTGTGGCTACAAAGACCATAAAAAAGCGATTGGGATGAAATTAGGCATATCTCCTGATGTTATTAACAATACAATAAACAAATATTTGAATGTTGATTGATTTACACCCACAACTTGTAATTTATATCGGCTTTTGTGGGGAAGGAGGTATAAAAAAACTGGAATCTTAGCAATCCCACCTAATTGTTAAATCCCTCTGATGCATTTTCGTTGGTCGTTTGTGCTTTTGATCTGTTAATATATGGTTTTGGAAGCTTACCTCTAGATACTGTGATGAGCCCAAGGAAATTTTGTCAAGTTGTGTGTTATAAGATTGATTTAGCCGTCCTCCACGTGATCTTCTGAAAATGGAAGTTGTGAGTTTGGACAATATTACACTTACATTTTCATCAGAGTGTCTTCGGACAGCACAAGGCCTGAAACTCCAATCTTATAAAGTGTTATTAATCCTCGTAAGTCTTTCCTTCCTCAAGACCATTGTTACTCTAACAGACAGTTCCAAGTCGCTATTAAACTTAATGTAATTACCGAAAATATTCGTCATATTATGTTTATAGAGTAAATAATTTATTTGACAGATTTTGTATTTTATGGATTGCTAAAACATCATTAGTGTAATATTTCGTAACGTTCGATATGTTGTCCTGGTTGCTGGCTGTGTAAGTTACATTAGAAACCTTCATATTCTGGTTACTTGATAAGGAAGATGAACTATTAGATGTTAGGGTTAACTATTAGATGTTGATGCATATACTTATAGCACGGGTTGTATAAAGACGTAAGTGTAAGGTTCTTTCTTTCATTCACAATTACAGCAAATGTATTCAGACGTTTCTGTTTAGGACACACACTTGCTTTAACTATTAAGTTCAAGTTAGAGTGTTTTACACCTCAATGTGATGTCCTAGCCAGCTTCATAGCAAATAACTGTTTTATTGAATTATGTAATATTTGTATAACTGACTGTGTAAAGATGTATGTTACAGTGGTTGACCTACTAATTTCATCTAACTGCTAAAGGCTATGAAACTACATTTAGTTAAAATTAAACAAACAAACATGATTACCCGATTATCCAAATGTGCTTTCGGAGAGTAAACCAACCTTTCTCGAGGGAATATAACGTCCTTCATGTGATTCTGTAAAACTGTGATTTGCAGTTAATAATCTGTATTTTTTGTCGTGTTTTACATTTGCCAATCCAATTAATTGGTCATGAAGTATGTAAGTCTGTAATATTATGTATGACATTTGTGACATAATATTCTGGGCATATGTTATGTAAGAATTTGTTCTTCACTCGATAATGTGGTATCCAGTTGGTGTTTGTGAAGGGTTATGTATTAGATATGGCAATAGAATCATTTCCAGTAAAATAAGGCACTGTAACAATGTTTAATATAGAAACAAGATGCTCATTTTCAGTCAAAAACTTTAAAAGTCATAACAGTGGAATCAAGTCTAAAACAAGTGTTCTGAGCTTATTACTGATTGTTATACAGTGTTAACTTTCCGAAGAAATAGCAAATTGGAACATCAAAGTAGTAAAATGAAAAAAGCGAAATTTCCTTCTCACTAAATATGGGATTTTCTTGTTTCTAATTACGGGTAAGTTAAGTATATTACGTTAGATAATATAATGTTATGCTTATTTTATGCATGAGACTGTGTGTATATATATATTATATCTGGTAAAATAATGTTCAGGTTTCATCCTTTGCAAGTCTGTACATTACTTTTTTTTTTACTTTGTTCTTTCAGTTATTAGTGGTGTAAAGGTGTGTGTTATGTTAAGTATTGTTGAACCTTTATTGTGACGTCCTTAGTACTGTTCCATGTGTGCTATGTTTAGCATTGCAAAGCCTGGCATCTGTGTAAAATGTAATGTCAGCTAACTTGATGGATTACAGTTATTTACTTTAGCTTGTTTTCACTGTTTTATATTCCTACAAAAGGTTTATCAGCACAGTTTTCATATTTAATATGTAATGGTTTAGTGAAGTACAAGCAAGTACATGATGCATTAAAAGTTTTATATCTGTTATTTGGTTAGAAACGTCTACGAACAAAATTCGTAAAATTCAATATTTCAACTCCGAAGAAGAAAATGAGAAAAAAAATCTAACCTCTGAAATATATACAGGTTGAGTTTATAGAAAATACCATACTGAAAATTATTATGTTGTAAATAAAATTTGTCCTACGTGAGTAAGATTTCACCAGAGACACATTAAGAATGTTAAGTTTCATTCAGAAAAGTTTTGACAGGAAACAGAATGTACAGGTAAGATATAATAATTTTAAATTGTTTTTTTTTCTATGATTACCCCTTATTATCCATAAAAATGGATCATCGGGGGTTTCTTTTCATCCATTATTCTAAGATGCTTATGCATAAGTTGTTTGTTGGTAAAATATTGTTTGTTGATTACAGTGTCCCTAATAACCATCAATATTGCATTTAATCCTATTAATTGTTGGTGGACTGTATTTTACAAATTAGTGATTTATTTGTTTCTCTATTTCTTTTCTTTTTTTTGTAGTTCCTTACACCGAATGTTATAATAGGCAAACGTATAAATTACTGAATATGGTACAATATCTGGACCTAACCTGTATTCAAAAGTATAAGAACAATTCCGTACTTTTAGGCTTAAAACCTAAGCTTGTAATTTATGTTCAAATATTAAAATGTTATTATTATATAAATACAAGTTTCCCACTTCATTCGATAACAAGTATTGCTTTATGTCATTGGTTTACATTGTTTTGTGGCTAGGCAGATGTTAATGAGAAATATTCTTCTTTCAGCCATGCTCACTTCATTCATCAGTGTCTGCAGACCTTTTCTTGTTTTCACTTGAATATAGAGACTGTTCTGGACAAAACGTTGTCGATAAACCTCTAACTGTTGACGCTTGTGGAGTTTGCAATGGGGATAATATGTCTTGTCAGAATTTGGTGTGTAATGGTAAGTAAGCATATTAATTACATGTAAACTATTGTTCACAAGTCTTTAACTATTGATCTTTATGGTGTGGTTATAACAGTAAACAGTAACTCTTGAGTACAGTTTGTAACATAATAGTAAGTGAACGTTTTTATTTATATCAACTATTTATAAGCCTTTAATTAACAAATAATCTAATTAGTGCAGCTTATATTTTCGGCTTTCAAGGCTTATAAACAGTTCATATAATTAAAGTAGTTAACTTCCTCTTATATCACAAACTGTTTACTGTTCTTTGGGTAAGAACAAAATTTCTTTCAGTTTTCAATGTGTGTGATAATGAGTATTCATACAGCAGAGCAGTCTTTATCAGACAAATTATTTCTCTGGCTACTCATATTTATCTATCTTCAAAGTTTATCAACAAGGAAGTGTGTCTGCCATAAGGAAACACAATGGCCACCTACTGTTGACTGACTGACTGAGAGGAAAAGTTTGTTTGTTTTGAATTTTGCGCAAAGCTACACAAGGGCTATCTGCGCTAGCCGTCCATAATTTAGCAGTGTAAGACTAGAGGGAAGGCAGCTAGTCATCACCACCCACCGTCAACTTTTGGGCTACTCTTTCATCAACGAATAGTGGGATTGTCCGTCATATTATAACGCCCCTACGGCTGAAAAGGCGAGCATGTTTGGTGGGACAGGGATTAGAATTCGTGACCCGCAGATTGCGAGTCGAGCGCCCCAACCACCTAGCCATACCGGGCCGGGAGAGGAAAAGCGATTCGACAAATTTGTAAAATTCAAAAAACTGTTTTTACTTGACGAATCCTTCAACAGTGGTGAGGATTTGATTATCATGAATTACACCTTGCGAAGGACAGTATAAAAACAAGTAGTATGAAGAATGCAAGTACAAAAGTGCAGTGACTCTTGGAGAGCCAAAACAGTGTAAAATATATGACTGCAGTCTTGTGTTGCGGCCTGATGATTCGTTTTTTTTACCCGTATCCTTTACTAATGGTAAGACGAACATATTGAGAAAATCACATGAAGTACTTGACCTTAGTTGTGTTGTTCCTGAAGATGCGGTAATGATGTAGTGAAGCAAGTGTTGTTCCAGTAATGTAGGATGCCAAAAATGTGGGAATGATGCAATAAAACAAGCATTCTAATGGGATATGTAGGATTTTTTAATTCCTTTAGAAGAACGAATAACACCTAGAGTTTATCTGAAAGTTATCAGTCATGTCCATCTCACAATTTTGCATTTTCACCATGAAGGACGAGGGCGGATCCAAAACAATAATGCATAAAGTCATCATACATATATTTCGACATTGATTCAACGATTTTGACAGCGACTCCGGCAAATCCATTCTCAGCTCAATACGCTTAAGCATCTCTTATCATTTTCTGCCAAAATCTGTCATCCAATTGCAGACTACACTTCTCGAAAAATGGACTACATTCAAATAAGACATCTTGTCGGTCTATGACATGCGCGGTCCATGGTATTATCGCATATAGTGATCCAACCCAGTGTTAGGTGAAGTTGAAAAAAAAAGATTAGTTATTGTATTACATCGCATACTAGAATATTTCAAATGATATTTCTAAGTTTGAGAAGAAAATTAACGAACTGTGATTTCATATATTCAATGAATTGTTTGTTTGTTTGAAATTAAGCACAAAACTACACAATAGGCTCTCGTGCTCTGCCCACCAAGGGTATCGAAACTCGATTTCTAGTGTTGTAAGTCCGAAGACATACCGCTGTGCCATTGGGGGGGGGGGCTCCACAATAAAAGTAAGCCATGAATACAATTGCAGAAACACAAATCGTAGAAATTAAGTTTACTTTTCAGCTAGAGACCGTAACCATCAGTTTAATGGCGGGATAAGAAGAAAAAACAGAAGATAGGTTAGGCAAGTTGAACTGCTACTTAAGTTGAGAGTGAAGTATGAATTAATTTTGGTGAAAATTTAAATCCTTTTTTTTTCAAGGTAAATTATTTAAAAATTGGAGAAGTGTGCACGAAAAGTTAGTTTCCTTAAAACTTCAAGTTATAAATACAAATAAATAAAAGTAGCATTATGCTAAAGAAAACTGAGAAAAAGCATATCAAAAATTGTTAATATTTATGCATAAAAAAAGAAAAAACTAGGTTTTTTGTTTATACAGTGAATTTAATACTTCAATACGAGTGTGTTAATGATTTTTAAAAGACTGCACCTAAGGTTATGCTCAAATAAAAGTTCTGAACTCGTAACAACAGCTATAATTTGATTATGAAGTTTTCCATTATAAAACAAAATTAATACGTTTAGTATTTAAGATTTAAGAGCTTTGATAAATATGAGTTTAGTAAAAAATTTCAGGTTTTGTTTAAACTATACTAATACTTGGTTTGATTACTTTCTTTTAGGTTGTATTTGAATAAAGCATTTTAAAACTGAAAATGAAAAAAATGAAATGTACAAGTCCACAGGTGTGGAGGCAGATGTTTTCACAGCGAAGTCGAAAAAAGTTTCATTCTCCGTGTTCACCTTTCCTTTGCTATACACTTTGTGAAATTTAAATTTCCCATTTTAAGAGAAATTTGCAGTGGTCGTAAAATTCAACGAATTTTTTTTTACATTTTCATTGTCCGGTTGGACAGTTTTTTATTACATGGTGGTCAGTAGCACAGCGATTATTTCTTGCCACAGTCTTTCAGGTACACCCATCTTCGTGTAACTGATATTAACCCCTGATTAACGCAATCTACCAACATAAACCAGAAACAAAAACGAACCAAGTAATAAGTATTGCTAATTAAATAAACTATTTTTGCATTTTACTTATAAAGATTAGGGTGTTTTGTTTCATCAGTTGGGTACTCTTGCTGTTAACGATATTTTCGGTCCGAATGAATGAGTTTATAAAATTATTTAGAATTTAAGCACATGAACTTCTTTTGAAACATGTTAATTTATTATAGGAACCTGTTTAATTTTTATTCGTTAATCATAACAATATCAGATGACAATAGTCAGGTAACACGGACACGAATAAAAATAGTATATACATTTTAAAATGTTTGTTTCAAGGCTTACAATATCGTAATAAAGAGCACCATTTTTTGGGCTCTACAATTTTACTATTACTGAAAGTTTGTATATTTTTCAAAAAGCAAATAAATTACGTTGTAAAATAAGTTTTTACGTCCTGTCCAGGTGGCAACTCTTGTGACGTATGTGGAACAAACGTTTCTGGGATTTCCAATCAAAGAGACTGTGCTGGATCTTGTGAACAAGAAAACGCTCTACTTACCTTTGGCGACCATGAAGTTTGTGTAAGGTAGGCTTAATACAGAATAATCTAGAAAAAATAATTATAAGCAGCAGGAACATTAGAAAGTAAAACTATAAAGCAAAAGTAGTGGTATGAGAAGTTTAAAATGCCTTTATTATTTGTTAACATTATGAAATCACGTAGAATAATTTTATTTAGTTTTGTTATTTAGTTTTTAAATATTATTTTATAATGTTTTATTAGAAGAAGAATTCACCTTAAACTAAATGAAAACATGTTTTAAATTGTCAGATTCCTTGAACTTATAAACCAAGCTCTTGCATATATAATCCTCTAAAATGTCACTCTTCTTGGACTGAAAGGTCCAAGGTTCGCGCCGTCATACGTCTGAAAGTACTTCGCACATTCAACTCTGGATGTATTTTAACAGTGCTACTCACTCCCATTATTTGGTTCAGCGGATGCTGTTGACTGGCTTCCTTCTCTCTAGTTAGTAATTCAAAATAACGGACGGCTACATCCAAGCTCTAATGGTCTCTAAACCCAGCTGTTTAGTCCATGTACGCACAAGGTGCTGTTCAGGTTGAAAATGCCAATTACTAATACTATTTCATTAATTCATTGTTCAACAAATTAAATAAGTATTTGTTGGCAATCTCTAAATTACTGTAAATTATTTTCATCAAGCAGCATCGTAAGCACGAAAGATAACCATAAATGTACTAAAAACAATTCAATATACTTACTATTCAATGAGTTTTCATTATACTTACATAGTTCTTGTATAAATAAATAAGAGCAACAAGTGTGAAAAACTGAGAAAAACGAAACATAAAACTCAAGTACACATATTTTGGTGTCAAATGATTAACGTTTGTAAGTAGAGAATATTAAACTATAAACCCGAAATTCGAACTAATGAAGCAGGAAATTCAAATTTTAAAATAATCAATAGAAAATAATTGTATAGACTTTTTATAAATTAGTTACTGTAAAATTTACTGTAATAAGTACAATAGAAAAGTCCTGTCTCTAAACACCCCAAAGGTATTCAACTGAGTGTATGAATAATATATCCAGCTGAAATTAAAGTAAAAAGGGAAAGCAATTAAGATAAAGAAGAAACTAATTAAAACATTTTTATCGTCTGTTTATGTGAAACTTTAGTATAAACCAGATTACTTCATGGATTTGGTGAAAATTAATGTTATATATAACCAAAACATCAATAAGACTCACCTGTGGATACGAATAAGAAAACTTTAAGAATATCAGACTTTTTACCACATTATTTTATTAATTTCTTCTACCAGCTTCAAAGGTCACTCTTCAGAAAATAGGTTTACTGATAATTTTTCTTTTCTGTAAGTCTTAGTAACTATTTTCACGGAGTAGGAATTTCCTGAAGAGTGACCTTTGAGTCACGAAACCGGTAGAATACATTAATAAAAGAAAGGAAAAAAATGTCTGATATTTCAGTGTTTTCTTATATATATATGTTAGTGAACGAAACAGAGATTATGACAATTGAAATTTATCGTTTGGGGCTCGTCTTAGTGTTCAGTCTTTTAGTGTGATTACAATACATTGACCGCTAACAATATTATGTTTGAACAGTACTGGAATGTATTTAGTGAATATATATTTTGATGAGATTGCAATTAATTCTACATTAAATGTATAAATATAGTTTTGAGAAGTCTCTTGTAAACGACATAGATTATTTTCATGTTAGTGAGCTATAGAAAACAGAACAAATCTTGTTGTTGCTACATATAAGAAAATTGAATTATTTTTATAAACCTTTGGAGAAATAACCGTAAAAGATTTATCAGTTCAAAAAATATCATCAACTTCCGTACGAAAATTCAGAGCTAGGACAGATTCATTTATAATTATTAAGAACATTTGATGTTTCTATATTTTGCAAAATTTCATGAGCTGTTTGTTTGTAATTAAGCACAAAGCTACACAATGGGCTATCTGTGTTCTGTCCACCACGAGTATCTAAACCCGGATTCTAGCATTGTAAGTCTGCAGACATGTCGCTATGCCACTGGGGGGCTCCATGAGCTGAATTTTAGAGTATTTAATATTCCATTTCTTAATACAATTGAATATCATGTTATATTTATATGTCACTTAGGATATTTTCATCCCTAAGCTTCAGAGAAAGGATATTATGTATTAACCTTTAAAACATGACAACGTTTTGTAGTGATACTCAGAACTATGGTGGATATAAAACTTCAGGGTCAGAACTGCATTATCTATCATGTTTTAGTGCTGGTACTTTACCGTAAATGAAGAAATGAGAACATGTATTTTTTTGATATAATTATTAGGATCATATAATACATTATGGCGAGGTTACTTAGTACAATAAATTAACATTTGGATTAATGACATGTTATTTCAATATTTTAGATTTTGTTTAATATTGTTCTTCAACAACTGGAAAATATCGTTCATCTTCTGAATATCGTTATATTTGAAGCTTCAGAACTAAGAGTTTATGGTAATATTCAATGGTATGATAGTGTAATATGTTATGGTTGAACTTGAAAAGTAGAACAGCAATTTATGTGGAACTTCACAGTTAACCTTGTGATGTAAATGTCAGAGTTTCAATATTGATGCTCTCAGCTTCAAATTTAGGATAGTGTTACACATTTAACTTAAGTGTAGGGATGTATTAAATCCATGTTAAATTATTTTAGATGATGTTATTCATAAACGTGAAAGATAGAATAGCATTAAAGCATAGTGTTATATATATATATATATATATATATATATAGAGAGAGAGAGAGAGACATAATTAATTAAGTAATAGACGAACGGTAACCTGTGTAGTTCGTCGTAGGCTCGTACCTACTACCTAACTTAACGTAA